GACACACAAACACACAAAGACACAGACACACAGACACAGACACAGACACACAGACACACAGACACACAGACACACAGNTGCTATCAGTTTCCACTCCTCCCCTTTCTCTTCCCACGTGGTTGCTTGTTTGCGTGCACACACACGTTGGTTTATTGATGTGTGCGCTCGCGCTTGCCCACTCGCTCAAAAGGAGGTTTTAACCTCCGAAGTCCCTACCTCCCACCTGGAATCCTGAAACACCCACTAGTGGGCAGTAGGGACCAAGTTCACAACCCATGGTCTATATAGACCGCCAAGATATTATAATAGAGATTGTCTGGACAAATGTGACATCCTCATCATAACAGGGGGAAAATAGTGAAAACTGAAGGAATTGAGGTGTCTTGTGGAAATAACACCAAAGATCTTCATTGTAAATACCTGGAACCATTGACAGTAGGCAAGAAAATGCAGCAGTAAAGAGGTATAGAGCTAAGTATTACAATATGGCAATGTAGAGAAGGAGTGAGACTATAATGCTAGGTGGGAATGACCTTGGGAGACCAGGTGAATAATTTTTTTCCAAGGAACGGTCAGATAACAGGGAACATAGTCCTCAGTCACATAGTGGGTGGAGCAAGAGACAAAGGACGGACCCTCCTACCCTAAGTTATTAGGATGTAATGGTGGAAGTGGGAAATTATACTTTCAAACTTGCAAGATTCTGTTAAGGTAGCTTCACAATAGAATTAGCTGATCTGGTCTTGTTTCCTGTCTGCTAAAGTGACAGAAATGGAAAGGTTGGGGGATGGGGAAAGAAGAGAGTGAAAATGTCCAGTTGCATGAAATAATGGAAATAATGAGAGAAAGTCTCCAATATGAACATTGCAGAAATGTGTCTTTAATTTGTTGGTATGGGATGAATTAGTTTATAGACATTCCACTGGAATTGAGTTTATAACTCCATTTTTTTAAAAAAAGATTTGAAACTGCTTGTGATTCTAATATGCCAAGAGAGCTGAGGGCGGGGGGAGTTTACGAGTGGTAAAAAATAGTCTTATGAAATAATAAAATCTAGAGACAATGGGGTAAAATTACTCTTGCAGAAAATGCAGGATTTGTCAAAATGTAGACAGCATTAAATGAGTGTGAATAAATTTGTCAAATCTAGATTCTATGCCTGACATAACTTTACAGGACACTGTAATTTATTTATTTTCCTTAAACTAAGACTAGAAATACTGGACGTTTTATATTCCATTGAATTGAAAAAAAAAATCTTTCCAGCTTTGTGAAGATAATAAAAGAACAATTAAGTACTTATGTTGTAAATGCTATTCATTTAAGTTTGACAGAATTATAATATTGATTTTTAATGTCAAGGTTCCTCTGAAATAATATGCCTATTTCCTCTTGAATCCATCCATCCATTCATCCATCCATCCATCCATCCATCCATCCATCCATCCATCCATCCATCTATCTAACTAACTATCTATCATCTGTCATCTCTTCATATATGCTTATTTCACAGCTAACCAGGATTAAAAGGAAAAAGAAATGGTGAAATATATTTGTAAAGCTTTCTAAAGCACAAATTATTATTCTAAGAAGCCAACAGTATGTGTACAACTTGATTGCTGATATCTGACTATAGATGACAAAAGTATTGGGGAA